ATTAAAGATAGAGACGTTTTTAAAAAGGGAAAACAGACATCATAAAAAAGTAAAACAGTCGAAGTTGCGACATTAGGCCTACCAAAATGAACCGTAATACATAACATATTTATTAAATCTTAAATATATGTGAGCTTTCCTATTATGACAAAGATCCAAAAGTAAAAGTTGGTAGCTGTAAAAATGTTTTCACTTAGGTTTGATGGAGTTTGTATACAATATCTGACTAAACCTTGTCCAGAATCTCCGGCCTGAAGAGCGACAACGCCCAAGGAAGTAGTTCTGCCAAAGGTTGGCCTAAAGAGTACACAGTTAAAAGTGCGGCCAACACGTACTGTTAATGATAATTTCAAACGGCACAACACCAGGAAATTATTTTATTTAAAAAAATGTATTTTATGTATCACTCTATACTGGTGTAAGTTTAGACGGCAGTTAGAGCAATCCCTTCCCCGTGCATGGTCATTGGATGTATTAGGTTGATACTAGGGCAATCGTTACATCACAAACAGTATCGATGTATGGCCATTGCATGTTGTAGTCTATACTGATATATGGTTACTACATCTAGTGCAAACACTACACCTTATACTGTATTAATGTATCAGTGTTGTCACTGTATTATCTAGTAATACATTACTACAGCTAGCGCACCCACTCCAACATACACGTATCAATGCATGATCATAATTACTCTCTAAAACGCACACTTGATATTCAAATACCCCCCCCCCCCCTTACATACGTTGAGCCCAACCTTGCTCCGCAGTGTGACTTTTACGATTAAAAAGAGACAATTAACCACCCCCTACCTGCCCCCCCCCCCCCCCTGTGCGACATTGACTGGAGAAAAGCCTCTAGGGGATCAAACTGCAACCACCAGAAACGGATCCATAGTTGAGCTCTTCCGGAAATGTTTCACTCTTCCGCGAAGCTTGTCATAACACTCCGTCTGCTTCAACGAACGGAAATATTTTTCCCTTTCAGAATCAGGGTTAACTAGGTTTAGTTTAATATGGTTTAGTTTACAATGGTTTAGAAGACAGGTTTAGAAGGCAGGTTTAGGTTTAACTAGGTTTAGTTTACAATGGTTTAGAAGACAGGTTTAGAAGGCAGGTTTAGGTTTAACTAGGTTTAGTTTACAATGGTTTAGAAGACAGGTTTAGAAGGCAGGTTTAGGTTTAACTAGGTTTAGTTTAATATGGTTTAGAAGACAGGTTTAGAAGGCAGGTTTAGGTTTAACTAGGTTTAGTTTAATATGGTTTAGAAGACAGGTTAAGGGTTAACTAGGTTTAGTTTAATATGGTTAAGAAGACAGGTTAAGGGTTAACTAGTTTCAGTTTAACATGGTTTAGAAGTTAAGGGTTAACCAGGTTAACATCGCGTTTACACTAGCGATATGTATATTATACCTGTCTAGAAAAAAACAACTCGCAACAAGTTAATATTATATTAAAAAATTTTCCCTACGGGACATGTATACTTACTTGTTTACGCGTTTTTTTTTCTCTAGAAATGTAAAGTATACATGTCGCAAGTGTAAACGCGGGGGAAGAATATCAAAATATGGGAAAGAACAAGCGAAATCCCAGTAAAGCATGACATATTCGGGAAAAAAAAGCGGAGATGGATATGTCGTACGTTAAGGAAACCGGCTACATGTATTACCAGACAAGGGATATCATGAAATTGATTAAGATAAAAAAAAGAGGGGAGAACAAAAACACAGTGTGCGGGGAAATAATAAAATATTTGAACATAATTAGAAAGACTAGGATAGAAATGGAAAAAAATACGAAACTTGAAAAAAAAACCGAAGAAAACGTACCATTTCATCACATCATAGTATTGCAGAATCCGATTATTTAAATCGTACTTAATCGTGAAATCGATACTGACGGTTCGATTATGCGGAGACAGCCCATTTTGGCGCCGAGACGCAATTTCAGGAGAGGGAAAGGGTAAACTATAAACAGATACACGCATGTAGCAAATTTGACCCATCTCCCCTACCCTTGTCATCGTTACAAAAAGTCAGTCACTCTTCGGCATTACTGATGGCACAAAGTTCGACCGACGCCCCTCTTAAAATATTTATAACGAGCCGACCCGCGGCGTATCATACGCCGCTATTTAGTTGTTTTATTTTCTACTTTTCAGTAATTCATAATTTGTGAATTCGACAGTACCAATGCTGCCACTGAAAATATTTGCTTTAAAATACTAACCACTCCCCCCTTTCCCCTAACCCCGACCCTAGCCCCCCCCCCCCCCCCCCCTACGAAAGCAGCCTCCTCTTAGTTACCTCCTGTAAGTTTAAACTTGTTTCAAACTAAATTATCTGCCCCTAATAGCCGTCACTAAACCCGGCTCTACGATTTGTAAACATTTAGTTTGACTACAGCTCACCAGACCATGAGGGGGTGGGGTGGGGGTGGTAGTGAAAGTGATAGAGAGAAAGAGAGGGGACTGTAAGGCGCGCTTGCAGCTTGTTTTCTAGCGTCTCCCAGAAGAGAATTATATATATAGATTCTAATGAGAATCAAAGGGTTTTTAAATTATTTTCTCAACACCACCCTCCATCAGGTTGAAAATTATCAACAACAAACATGACAGCCACCACTTCCCCTCTCAACCTAGGTGTAAAACGTCTTCCAAATAGTTGTCTTGATTCACAATTTATAAAAACATATTTTCTAGATGAAAAGGGTAACGCAACTTCGGGCGATGCAGGACAACGGCCTTTTGTTCTATAATGTCCGTCCCGACGCCCCTTTAATTAACTAGCAATCAGTTTCTAATTACACATTACACAATAAGGGGGAAAATGTCAAGGACGTCGTTGTGTCTGGGGATGAGCTATCATTAGAGCCGGGCATTTTGAAGTGTTGAAATTGTAACAAGAGAAGTAATCTAAAGGCAACAAGAGAGGGGGGGGGGGCGATGTTTTGGGCAGAGATGAGCTAATCTTTGGGCAAAGGGTAAGACACTTTATGCAACGGGTGAAACACTTTGGGCAAAGGGTGAAACACTTTGGGCAAAGGGTGAAACACTTTGGGCAATGGGTGAAACACTTTGGGCAAAGGGTGAATCACTTTTGGCAATGGGGGAGACACTTCGGTTGGGCAACGGGATAGACATTGTATGTAACAGGTAAGACACTTTAGGCAAAGGGTGATACACTATAGGTAACAGGTGAGATGTTTTGGGCAATGGGTAAGATGCTTTGGGCAACAGTAAGACACTTTAGGCAAAGGGTGAGACACTTGGCATGGGTGAGACACTTTGGGCAAAGGGTGAGTCACTACGGGTAACAGGAGAGATGTTTTGGGCAATGGGTAAGATGCTTTGGGCAACAGTAAGACACTTTAGGCAAAGGTTGAGACACTTTGGGAAATGGGTGAGACACTTTGGGCAAAGGGTGAGACTTTTTGGACAATGGATGAGACACTTTGGACAATGGATGAGACTCTTTGGGCAATGGATGAGACACTTTGGGCAATGGATGAGACACTTTGTGCAAAGGGTGAGACACTTTGGGCAAAGGGTGAGACACTTTGGGCAAAGGGTGAGACACTTTGGGCAAAGGGTGAGACACTATGGGTAACAGGAGAGATGTTTTGGGCAATGGGTAAGATGCTTTGGGCAATAGGTGAGATGTTTTGGGCAACAGCAGAGATGCTTTATGCAACGGGTGAAATGCTTTGGGCAGTGATGAGCTAAACTTGCGGTGAGGGTTTAGTTAGTGTTTGATCACACTTTTGATAATCTTAACAAGCAGTTTTCAAAATTTAAACTTTAGGAGTTAGTTTTAATTTTTTTAGGAAAACTTTATGAACATTGTTAAACAAATCCACCCAGCTTATGTTTTATTTAAGAAAGAAATCACAGTTTTAAAAGACAGAAATAGCAGCTTGGAGTGGGTGGAGGTACGACAGGTGTGGTGTCATACTCTGTGGGGGAGGGGGGGGGGTCTGAATTTTTATGGTGATGATGGCAGGATGAAGAGAGCAGGATGAAGAGAGTAGGGTGTGGAAGATGACACCTAAGAAATTATAAAAGTATACAAGAATTATTGGTTATTACTATTGTAAAAACTGGTTGTAACTGCAATAAGAAGTAAAGTATTTTCAACACACAGTTTATAAGAAAACTGACTGCTGAAACCCCATGGCTAATATGTTAAGATACAGTAATTTTAACTTACTTTGGTTAGCTTATTTCATTTTGAAGCAGATAACAAGTCAGCTAAAATAAGTATATTTCAGGTAAGTAATAATGATACAAAAGTTTGCAGTTATACAGTTACAGGGATGTGAATAGGAAAAACTATATTATAGGGTGGTGTGGGGGGGGGGGGGGTAAGAGTGGGAGAAATTGAAATATTTTTAGCATTTTATCAAATTATGTAACAAATGGTCAAACGCTATGTATAAGATTTTTAGAGAAGACAAGTAAAGAATGTGATTTTTAATAATACTTTCTAAGAAGTCTATATATTATAGCAGGCATGGAGAATGGCAAATCAATTTTGCCAAAGGAGGTTAATAAGCTATTTTTCCCCCCAACCCTTTTCCTTTAAACTTATATATTGATGTAAAGCAGGGGTCTCCAAACTACGGCCCGCGGGCCGGATGCGGCCCGCGAGGTCCTCTCATCCGGCCCGCGGAGATCTTTTTGTCCACGGAAAAAACGTTTGTTGGGGATGGCTGAGGAACTTTGCCCAGAAAAATCACGACATGCCTGGAAGAAACTGGCCCCCGAACTGAAATTTAATAGTTAATGCGGCCCTCGGACTGAAAAGTTTGGAGACCCCTGATGTAAAGGAATGAATAAACAATAAAAATAAAAAGATAGCAAAATGTTTCTCAAAAGAAAAAAAAACAACAAAATCAAACATTTATAAATGAGGGTAAAAAGACATGTAATTAAAATTAAATGCTCATACTAATTTAAAAAAAGAAAAAAAACTAATTCACAGAAATATAGAAGCCACTTACCAGGACCACTGCTTTGCATAAAACTCTTTAGTCCATCAATTTCATCTGATTTATCATCGATGCTTTCAAGTGTATTACATTGTGAACTCTCTGGTTGGCCAGCTGACAACACTGAACTTCGGGGTCCAGCATTACCCGGAACAACTGTTTTCTCAATATGGTCCGACATTTAGAAGGTGAGCAACCTAAACAAAAGACCAACACATTGCCCAAAATGTTTTGTTAACCCCCTGTACATATTTATTTGCTTTATTGTAAAAAATGTAAGTAAACAGAATGAAGTACATTATTTTTTTTTTTACTTCAGACTAATGTAGTGATTAATTAGAGAACTTATTACATAAAATTTATCTTATACTTGTAGAGAAAAAACAATTCTCATTCATATTATAGATGAACAAGTATTTTATAATAACTAATTATCTAATTTACAAGGAGCAAATGTAGGAATGGAAATTTATTTACAAAGGCCTAATACATAGAATATTCATTACAGTAGCCTATTTATTTTGGCCTACTGTTTCAGAAATTGTATGCCAAAGAAGACATGATTTAGGGCTTATATAACTAAGATATGCCAGAATTGTCAAAACACTAGTGCTGAAATATAAAAATGAATAATGTTTTAAGTTTCAGTTAGATCTATGTGATAATTTTTTTACTTTATTTGAAGTAAAGTAATAGGCCTAAAATAAATTGTTTTAAATTTATTAAAGTTACATTAGACCTAGTTTTATTTCAAATAAAAAAAAACAACCTTAGTTCTCAGAAAAAGAATAGTGTAATTATCCTACTATTTCAATTTAAGTATTTCCATTTGAACAGTGTTGTACTGACTACACTCTGACTAGTACTATTATTAGTAACAGGTTAAAGATACCCCATGGTTAGAGTAATAAACCCATTCATTATTCATTTCATGATAAAATTTTAGGCCTATCTTAATTGATACTTGTTCCACCACAGTAGCAAAGAAGAAGTATGTTAATCAAGATTCTGGATCTAAATCTAGCTGATTGCTAGCCTAGCAGAAAGAAATGATGGAGTTTTTAATACCATAGTCCAATAATGAGATGATAATAATAAAAGCTTCTTTTAAAAAAGGTGTTAGATTAGTCTATGTGGTGGTTCACTAAAGCAAATTAAATACACATGACTTTCTAATGTCAAGGCTAACCCTAACTTAAGTCCTACCATAATCATATGCCTTACCCTAAGCCCTTACCCTAATTTCAAATTTCTAACCATAAAACTAACCCCAAACCCTAATTTCAAATTTCTAACCATAAACTACTTTTGAGATTACAATACTACCAACAACCTAACATACCTATTTTTGGAAGAATCTATTGGTATTATCAGACACGGTATCCTTAATCATTGAAAGAATTGAAATACAATAAAAACATTAAACACAATGTCACTAGTGTGACAATAGGCCTTGTTCACACTTGAAACAACTAGTTTCAGTACGGTAATCTCAAGATATAGCATTGGTTATTATTCCATAAGGTACAGCAGATTTTACTAAGCCTAGATCCAGTTGTAGCAAATATCTGCAAGTTTTTATTTCTGTTTCTTAAAAAAAGAACATTAATTACTACACTCGACTTTATTAATATAATTTAGAATTTAGATCTAAATTTACTAACTGTTGCTAAATTTCTGTCAATTAAACTTGAAACATTAATTTAATAGACTCAACTTTATATTTCTTTACAGTTTACAGTAATGAATGTTTACGAATAATCTCAACAAACATTACGGGATAATTTCCGACGCTATATCGTTAAATTAGAGATTACACTAGCATTAGTTTTATTTAGCATGTTGGTTGGTAGTTGGTAATAGATCTAGACTAGATCTAGTAGTTGACTGGTAGTAGAGTAGTGGTAGGATTAGTTGTTACTAACTTAACTAAATACTAGAATGATACTGATAGAATCTAAAATTTCTAAAAAATTTGATTTAGTTCTAGAATCTTGATCTAGCTCTACACTACACAGTTAACACAGAACTGCTCAGAGTAAGTTTTATAGTTATATCTTCTAGATCCCCCAATGGGCCCCAAGGAGACAACTTATATAACTGAAGTTACCCAACAAGACCCGTGATCTGGGTGTCCAATGACAAGCACAAAAATCTGAAAATCAGTTACCGCTAGCTACGCATTTGTTATTATTTTTTTAATAATAAACATTAAAGAACAGGAAAACAATTTAATTTACAGTTGAACCTACTCCAACAACGTTCATATAAAAAGTACATTAAAGCTGTAATCAATAGGTTCACCAATTAGAGCATTTTTAAATTCGTGCTTTTTATCCATTGAAACGCATTACTACAAGTACAAACTACAATGATTACGATGATGATACCAGGAAGTTGCCGTTATCAACTATCCAGTCACAGGGGCGCTAGCTGTGCTATTTACATTGACGTATCAAAACCATTTTGGTTTTTTGTTTTGTAAATAAGTTTTTAATTGTTGGCGTCGTCCGCATTACACTAAGATTTGTAATTTATTTCCATTAACCTGATAATAAATGCGTTTTCAACTTCTTATTAACAGACAATACTTAGATCTCACATTAAAAAATATATCCAGTTATGGAAACATTATCAAAACTATGTGTGTTCTAATAAGTTACTAGCAGACTGAATAATCTAAATTTTACAATTAGATCTAGATCTAGTTAGTTTGGATGTTTGTAATGCTGTGAGAAATGAGTTTAATTACTTTAGCATTCATTCTTTTCAAAGCTAAACTAGCAAACGAAATTTTAAAGTTCCCAGCATATACTTTAAAAATAAATCTATAGTATTGGCGGAGCCCCTTCCCCCGAAGAAGTCTACCCCACCCGAACGAGATGGAATTTATATAGCAAACATACACTTTTACTAGTGTCCACCCCCCCCCCCCCCCCGAATAATGTTGACCGCCCCCCCGAAAATATCGAGTGCCCCCCCCCCCCCCCCCAGGAGAAAAAAGTCTGGAAGAAACACTGATGCATATACTTCTATAATATTAGTATTAGGTCTTATCCCTACCTAAGCTAATGTTAAACTATCAGGTCAGTGCAAGCCTGTTACCGAAGAACCCGGACTGATTAAAACCCTAACCACAGTTTCTTCCAGCATCTCTTCGCCCTCCCCCCCCCCCCGAATGAAATTGAATTTATATAGAAAACATATACTTTTATTTGTCCGCCCCCGGAAAATGGTTGTCCGCCTCCCCCTGAAATTATCAAGTCTCCCCCCCCCCCCCCCCCGGAGAAAAAAGTCGCAAGAAACACTGAACCTAACCTTAAACTAACTAAAATAAGACAGAAAAAATAAACCGGTAGTGATCTCCCCTAAACTTTCTCGAATATTCTTATATAAAACAACAGGGGATGGTAACTGGGGATATAGTTATGATCTTTAATCCATTTTAAATACTGAAACTTTTAAAAATAGAATAGAATCTCAGTAAAAAACAATTGCGCACCAAGCGAACGCCTAATAAAGGTGTGTATAATAGTGCGCAATAGTATTAGTACTTTATAAATTTACATTAGTTTTTTGAGAAATCGGAAGTAGCGTAAAGTACTACTTCCGGTCAACGGAAATTACTCAAAATTTAACAGAAGGTAGAGAATTAGATCTTTTACTTACATGTGAAATTTCATTTATCTATCTGAAATAGTACTCAAGTTATAGGCTTTTGAAAAATTCAAAGTAGAAAAAGTACCACTTCCGGTTATCCGAAATCGCTCAAAAGTTGATACGGATCTACGATTTTGATATAATACTTGCATATGAAATTTCATCAACCTAGCTGTAACGGTACTCAAGTTATCGTGTTTACACACGGACACACACACACACACACACACGGACACACAGACATACGGACAAGATTGCAAAATTATGTTTTTCCGTATCAGTGAGATGTAAAACGTCGAGATTTGCAAAAATCTCGATTTTTTTTTTTGCACGATTACAAGACTTTCTCTATACTTCGTATATACGAGAAAGTAAAAAAGCTTAACAATTTTTACTTTCTCGTATATACGAAGTATAGAGAAAGTATTGTAATCGTGCAAAAAAAAAAAATCGAAATTTTTACAGATCTCGACGTTTTACACCTCACTGATACGGAAAAACATAATTTTGCAATCTTGTCCGTATGTCTGTGTGTGTGTCTGTGTGTCTGTGTGTCTGTGTGTCCGTGTGTAAACACGATAACTTGAGTACCGTTACAGCTAGGTTGATGAAATTTCATATATAAGTATTTTATCAAAATCGTAGATCCGTATTAACTTTTGAGCGATTTCCGATAACCGGAAGTGGTACTTTTCCTACTTTGAATTTTTCAAAAGCCTATCTTCTTCTTCTTCTTCGTTCTTAATTATTAGTGTTGAAGAGGATCGAGATTTATCTGCCAGTGGGTTTGAACTCGAGACTTTGTTCGAATTTATCAACCATGAGCTTTTTTTGCCGACTCGACCACGCCTCCAACACAATTAAGCGTTACGTGTCAACTGGTTATGCGCCATTGAGGCTATTGACTCCGATTTCAGCCTGCTTTTCTTTTTGGATTTGCTTCCATAGCCTTTGTCCAACCAAGAACAAACTACAAGGCAGCAGTTGTTTAATTTTGGAGTTGTCTCTCCTAGAAGAGTGGCTGTCCCCAGCTAACGAGCCTCATCTGCCCGAGGGTTCGAACTCGAGACTCTTCGGTTTAGCAACCATGAGCTTTACCGACTCGACCACGCCGACCCCTCAAAAGCCTATAACTTGAGTACTATTTCAGATAGATAAATGAAATTTCACATGTAAGTAAAAGATCTAATTCTCTACCTTCTGTAAAATTTTGAGTAATTTCCGTTGACTGGAAGTAGTAATTTACGCTACTTCCGATTTCTCAAAAACCTAATGTAAATTTTAAAAGTACTAATAATATTGCGCACTATTATGCGCTTTTTTATTTGGCGTTCACTTGGTGTGCAATTAATTTGTCTACGAGATTTTATTCTATTTTTAAAACTTTAAGTATTTAAAATGGATTAAAAATCATGTCTATAGCCCGAGTTCCCATCCCCTGTTATTTTATATAAGAATATTCGAGAAAGTTTAGGGGAGATCACTCCCGGTTTATTTTAAATTTATTATATGAAAAATAGGAACCAAAGTTAGCAAAAAATGTAGGCCTAAAGAAAAAACTAAAAGTGACAAAACATCCAATCAAACAATAACAAATCTGAATAGGTAAAAACATAAGTGAAACGGATAATACAAACAAAAAAGTATTTACAAGGCATAATTAATAACTTTAAGTCCTGTGTGGACTACTTACAAATCTTATGATACGATTGCAAAAATGTTATAATTTGATCTGGCAATAATTTGATCATTCAACATTTAAAACGAAAGTAGACGCAACACAGGTGTGTGGTATAACTAGATTCTATTCTATAGCCCTTCAAAGTAAAGTTACTAAACTATTAACTATTAGATTCTATATTATGTTAAATTACATAGATCTACACAATTAGTGACAATTAAGATTTTATAAAATGAGATTGGTGAATGAATTCAATAATTGATTGACAACATACAAAATACGACCTGCAATACATGACTACAACTACAACTTCAACTACACATACTACTTAGATCTAGTACTTAGTATTATACTACCATCTAGTTTACTACATACACATGGACATGACAGTTGCAGTGGGAATGATTTGATTTAAAATTTATGTTAATCCGAATGGTCCATGTTTTATTTTAATATTTTTTACTTAGTAAAGTTATCCCCACCACTAATCATAATCAATCAGTACAAAAAGCCAGTCAGTTCATAGATCTAGTAAACTCTCAAATTTCCACTTACTCTTAAAAGTAGTTAAAAGTATTACTTTTAGGTTTAGCTTACTTTTAAAGTAAGCTAAAAGATAATCATAGTTCCTAGGATAATTAATTAGTCAGTAGGCCTCGATCTAGATCTGTTATTTAAAAGTTATTTTTATATTCAATAAATGTAAAACGTAAAGAATAGTTAGATCTACTGAAATCTACTCAGTTCAATCAGTAGCTGTGGTGCATTTCTTATAGAATACCCTACAGTTTCTTCCCCCAGCCTTTTAGTGCACCATAACCAAGCTCACCATAACCAAGCTCCCTAGCTAGGATACCACTCACACTTAGAACCCATTTTTTGTAAAAAGATGAATATAGTTAAACATTAGCATGAAACTTAGTAAATAAATGAAAAAAAAGTGACTTCATCTTTTTCTGTGGAGGTATGTACAATTATGATGGGAAAATGTAGAACAATCTCACCCTGTTGATACATTATTATTCTATTTTCAGCTTCAAGACTTGTAACAAAATAAATATGCGTGAGACTCCTCTTTCACAGTGTGAGAGGGAATTTATCTTAAACAATATAGCCCTCAAAAGAGTAAGTATATTAAGTATTTACAATATATCAGAAATTGCATGCATAGATTATATTAAACAGACGTAAGTATATTTTAGATAATTAGAAAAGAATTTTCTTAAGTGCTTGGCCATTTATTAAGAGATTAGCATACTTATCAATTTTTTAGCAATTAGCACGTTAATGATGTATTATATCTTAAAATATGTGAAATTTAATTTCCCCAGAGATTAGACGGTAGGAATTCTTATGATTATCGTGACATCAGAATATCCTTTGGTGTGAGTTTAGGCTGTTGTCATGTGGAACTGGGAAAAACTAGGTCTGGTAGAAATTTAACGTTTTATTGCTCATTATTTTAGATGGTGTAGACACTAAACATATTAATTTTAAAACAGTTTTGTTTTTAAAATAGCTCATATTTGTGCATAATTTTAAGTATTATCTTTCTTCTAATACTTCATTATTTAAATTTCTATAAGTACTTTTTTCTTAAAAAGTTTTAAGTAATTTTTTATATTATTATTTTTCTGACTGAGCTGTGACATATTGTTGTGTGATGTATTGTTGAAACATCATTTTTTGCAGAGTTTTAGCCCAAGTCTCCTGTGAAGTGGGCCAGCCTAAACAGACCCGCCCACATGACGGTGTTTTATTTGTCAATGTTGAACTATCTCCCATGGCCAGTCCAGCTTTTGAGGCAGGAAGGTAAAATATTTACAAACTTATAATTTATAAAGGATCGTTTTTGGTTTTGAAGATAATCCAGTTAAAATTGTTATATTTAAAATATGCCTTACTGAACTGTTACCAATCTGTTATACCAAATATAAAAAAAAATGAACCAAATAAAATATTTGATAAGGATTTGGTATATAAATTTTCGTTTCTTATAGGCCATCAGAGGAAAGTGTGGAACTCTCCCGGCTAATGGAACGGTGTTTAAAAGAATCTCGATGCATGGATTTGGAGTCTCTGTGTATAGTGTCTGGAGAGAAGGTGAGATTGACCTTGTTTAATTGCTTTCTGTGGGGAGCGGGAAAACTTTTTAAAAAATCCTAAGACCAGTTTAAGGTATGGGTTACAGCTGAGTGAAAGATGTATCTGGATTATGTTGTTTTAAAATAAAGAAATAATTTACTTTATGCTTAATATAAAAAAAATATAATGCCTATAACAGAAAACCTCAATATACTAAAGTAAAACAAACCAATAACATGCTGCTTAACTCACTGTATTTCTCAAGTAATTGAAAATATTATTTTTAAAAAATCTTTAATTTTGAAAATTTATTTTCTCATTTTGTTAATTTCTTGAGGTTTTGAATTAATCTGTTACTTGATTTTTTCTCAGGATTTTTTGGTGTGAAGTTGATTTTTTAATGAGGGGGCAGCTACATTGGCTACATTATTAACTTTTTAAATAAAAGACAACTATATAATTAACTTAAAAATTTTTTTTTTTTCCAGGCATGGCATGTTAGAGTTGACATTCATGTACTCAATCATGAGGGCAACATTTTAGACTGTTCAAGTATAGCTGCCATATCTGCATTAGCACATTTTAGGTAGTTTTATAAATTTAATATTTCTTAGCACAATTTAGGTAATTTTATAAATTTAAAAATCTGCATTAGCAGGTTTTAGGTTGTTTTTTAAACCTAATGTTTTCCATTATAATTATATTTTATATTATATGAGCAGATGGAATGACTATGTATTTAGCTTTGATAATATTAGCTTTACAATTCCGCTTCTATGTACATTTTTATTCTAGGCGACCAGATGTTAGTGTGCATGGAGAAGAAATCACAATAGTTAGTATTTTTTTTCTTTACCTTTGTAATAAATCCAGCTTTATCGTCTTTATGTTAATCAAGTAATTATAAATTAATTAATTTTCTGACGACAGAATATTATATATAATGTGCTTCAGCTTGTGTTTATTTGTTCAAAGCAAAATATTGAATTATTTTTCTCTATTGAAGCTGAACATGCAATGTTATATAATCAAAGCATGAAAGAGACTAAGTTATGAGTTGTACTTCAGTTTTGTTTTTAAGTTGTTTTTTTTTTTAAATTAAATTTCAGCACTCACTAGAAGAAAGGAATCCAGTACCTTTGAGTATCCACCACATGCCACTTCTAGTTTCATTTACATTTTTCTCTCAAGGGTAACCTCCCTTTCACTACATTGATCTGCACTGAACATCCTTGTTGTTGTGTGGCTAAGATTGTTATTTTCTTATTTAACAAAAATTATTTAAAAAACCTTACATGTTGTATAATGTCTTAAGGTTGCTTATATTTTTTAAAATTTATAACTACAGGAAATTCATGCTCCTGGATCCCTCAGAGAAAGAAGAGAAAGTGATGGAGGGAAAGATGGTCATAGGAATAAATAAACACAGAGAAATTTGTACACTCCAGGTTACTGGGGATATGTTACTTCACAAAGATCAGGTAAGTTTTGGGTTATAACTCATTCTTAAAGATCAAGGGAGTTAATGGTTGTCCCTTAGGGGGAGGGGAATGTGTCTTCACGAAGAGATCAAGTGAGTTTAGGGCTTACTTGTCATTACTTTACAAAGACTAATTAGTTCAGGGCTAAACTTCTAGTTACTGTGGGGATGAGGAGAATGATGCTACTACACAATTATTAGGTATAGACCATAACTTCTAATTAATTTAAGTGGGGGGGGGGGGGGAAGTGTTATGTTATTTCACAAAAATCAAGAAAGTTCAAGACTGAATCTTCTACTTTCCAGGGATATGTTACTGGCAAAAATAATTGTATATTTTTAAAAAATGTTTTATGTTAAAAAAATACTTGCTAAAATTGTTCAGTATAAAATATTAATTTTTATTTTTAGGTGTATCCGTTTGGTGTGATATTTACATTTTATGTTTGCATGTTAAGATCATTATTGTATTTTGGGCATTCAGGTTCTACGATGTACCAGCATAGCAGTGACTGAAGTCACTAAAATAACAGAGCTCATCCATAAGGCATTAGAGAATGATAAAGAAGCCAGGCAAGTTCATTAAGCACCTTCAAGCACATTACACTTTCTGTTATATAAAATTTATAATTAATAAAAAAAAACAGTGTCCCTTTTCCAAACCTTGGCATAAAGGAATTATTGCAGTAATTAATGTTCATATTGTCAAGTTTATTAAGCTTTGTTAATCTTTTTTAAAGTGTGTTGTATGTAGATAGTTTATAGAATTACCATTAATTGTAGATAAGCTTTATTTCTGACTGTTTTGTTTAGATTGAGGGGTGAGAAACATGGTTTTGCTGAGCTGGTGTCAAGGCAGAAAGTCACTTCTAATCAACAGCCAGTGAAAGAGATAGCCTTAAAGGAAAAGATGGACACAGATGATGAAAGCACTTCGGACAGTGACCTCAGTAGCTCAGGGGAGCCAACCATGGAAACTGAAGACAAAAGGTATTTGTAGCATTCTCCAATAGTAATAAAACTATTGATTATAAGGAAAATATTGTAGTAAAATTCAGCTTTTAAAAGTAACAATAGACAATTGGTTTGATACAATTGTTTTCCATCTAAGCATGTTAAAGAATGTAGCACAGTGTGAATTATCAAGAATATTTGTAACCAGCAAACTGAGAATTTCTGGCATTTGAAGAAAAGTGGTGTTTGTAGAAAAGCATGCAATATCTTTTATTAGACACTTTCCCTTTAGGGTTAGTGTGTTGGTTCAGATTTAGGGATTTATTGAAATTTCTGCATGTTTAGCCCTTTAAATGCTGTTGCATTAAGCTTTGATATGGTGTGAATTCTGGCTAGTAAAAAATTTTTAAAAGAATTATGCAGCTACCTATAATTTTAGTACTTTTGGTCTTGTTAGAGCATTGCTATGTTTGTTTTTTTTAGAATAAGCTTTCTAAACTTAGCTGTTTGGAATTCAATAAAGTCTAGGCAAGGTGCCTGATAAAATATATTCTGTACTTTGCCTAGATATTGTATAGAATGGCATATTTTGCACTGTACCAGTAACATATTGAACATGTGCATTTAATAATTGTCCCTTGAAATACAAAATGGACAAAATTCAGAAAATTGTTTTGGAATGTACATTTTCATATAACTATGTAGAATATGTCATAAAAATACCTAGTTTAGCTAACAGCTGGCTTAATATAATTTTTATGTTAATTATGTTTTCAACCAAATAAAAAATATAAAGTTTGTTTGTTACTTCTATCCACAGTAATATCCATATTTTGGTAAGTTTTACGTTTACTTTCTTTAAGGTTGATAATGATAATGGTTTACAAATTACAAACTGAAAAATTTCCAAACCTTTGTAATTATTCTTTTTTGAAATATTGAAAGATATAATCATAGCACATTGCTCAACTTTAATTTTTCCAACAGACCAAAGGTGTAGGAATGATAGGTGAAGGAGGAGCCAGTAAATGGTTGCCAGACACCCCTTCATTGCGAGGGAAGGAAAAAGTTTTAACCAAATCAAAACAAGAGCCCATGGAAGATGGTAATTGTATATTTTTAAGTCTATTGAAACAGCAGATCTTATTGCCTTTTGTTTTAGATTATCTGTTAAGATTTTTTTTCATTTTTTCATATATTTTCACTCCTGACAAGCACAAATACTGGTAACAATCAATTGCTTATCATAATGAAGAACAAAAAAATATTAAATATTAGAAGTCATGCAACAAAAACTAACTAGTTTTAGATAGCTCACTATCACACCTTTTCTCACTGTAGTTTTTGTTTCATCAATCTTTTTTTTCCCCTTTCATACATTTTCGGTACTAACTAAAGTGAGCTGGGTGAAAAGTAGTATTTTGTGACCTTGAAAGAAATGCTTTAATTTAGTATTTGTATTTGTAATGTCTAACTGCACTTGTACAATATTATTTTCAGATGGGGAAAGCAGTGAAGAAGAATCTCAAGTCACGCTACAACCCTTGTTGTGAACAAACTTGAATTATGTTAAATAAACCTTTTCACTACTATTCACGTGTTTTTCTGTTTAATTCCACGCTTTTGAAGAGAAATTGTAAAGATCTATGTAGTCCAAGTAAGAAATTGTTTGGTGAAATTGTTTCATTTGGTATCAACACTGGGTCAACTTGACCTGGACAAAGTTGTTTGAAGGGTTTTTAATTTACTGTAACTAGCAAGTACTAATGGAAAAGTATTACTTATATCAGGATAACTTTTCAGTTCTAATACAGACTTCCAGCACTCATTGAAGTATGTTTAATGATGATCTTTTGCTAATTTTTCCTAATCTCCCCTAGCCTTGAATACAAAGCAGTATTTAAAAGATACTACAGCAATCTTTGGTATATCCAAATAATTGGGCGACAGAAAACATGCCCATATTAATTTGTTGTGGGCTGTAGATTTGGATACAGAAACTAGCCTAAGCTTCCTTAACTTAAATCTGACAAATGTAATTTGTAGTATACTAGTTTGGTGCAATACAAGTCTAAATTATAAATTCAGTTTCACAAATGTTTCTCTTAAAATTGGATATCTGTTAAAAGAATATGCTAAATGTTTTTTGTAGAATGCATAGTGCAAATAAGGTCATGACAAACTGAATAAATTCAACTGATCTTTATTAGTACAAAAGTTTAAAATGTACAATGCTTTCAATAGAATACATCTTCAGAAAATAAAGTGATAAAATTATACAGATCTGAAATAATATTCTATGAAATATCATTGACAAACAATATTAGCCGGAGGCTAAAATCTATCAACAATCATATTTGTCACTAGACAAATAAATGGCCTTTTAAAAGATTCGTAAAGAATTTAGTAACAAACAGGTGGGGGGAAAACAGCTAAATTAGCTGTAGTTGAAAAACAACTTTTAAAATAAATATAAATTCATTAAAAAAAATTTGTGAGGTTTGTAAAAAAAATGTGCATCATCGTGAACTAGGTATCAGGCCATTTATCAGACTGTAAGAGATGAACAGTCTGTTATGTGGCAAAAAGTTGTGGTAGATCAGCAGATAGCTTGATAATGATTGGGAGTACAAGTGAAGCAAAAAAATTTATACAACAAAGTCAGATCTAATGAGGCAGTTATGGGAGCATATAATTAGCACCTGAAATAGTAGTAGTTACAGATCTTGAAGTTACAGATCTAAAGAAAGCAGATTAGTATACTGGACTTATCTTTGTACTAAATGGCATACAAGGTTATACACGGTTACAAAAACCAGAGACTTCTCACCACACTGCAGACTGTCCACTCTGTAGAATAGTCTATACAATTCTTTAACTCATGTCTGACTATGTATGGCCACTCAAACTTGCCTTTACTCTCCCTAATTTGTTCAGGATTTAAGTTTGTTCGATTTAGCATTAAGTGACACTAGCATTAAGTACAGAGCCAACTTTGGGGTGGTGTGGCACAGGTTTGAACAGCCACACACAGCAAACTGAGCACCTGTACAATTTGCTTGGATAATCAAGTCTTGCAGTGACAGAAAGAAATGCATTGGGTAAAACAATCAAGATTTCTGCAATATCTTAACTGCATGCAACTGTTAGTGATTATCCATCTTTCAAGTTAATGAATTATGATACAATAGCCAAATAAATACTTTAGATAATTTAACTTCAGAAAGTAGGGATAGACAGAAAAGTCTAGACAAATAATTTAATTTGCAATAGTTAAGAATAGAGATAACACATTCTTTTAAAGATAAAAGGATAGACAGAATGAACAAACGAAAACAGGAAATGGATGAGAGGAATGTTCTGAGTGAGCTGTGTTAAACAGAAAAGAATGACTGACCAGTAGATTTAAGGATAGAATAAACATACAAAAACAGGAAGAGAATGAATAGAAATGGTAGAAAGAGAAAGGCAGATCAGTTTGATGAGAATGAAGGCTTGCTAGTAAGTAGTTACGCCATTTGAGTTTAGTTAAGTCGTCGTGTCACATTTTGGTTACAGTTGTGGTTGTCTGATTCACCATATACAAATAAGGCTGCCTATGGTATTGAACACTATGGTATGGTAAGGCTAGGAATAACAGTAACAATAGTTAAGGCACTAATTGGTATAAACAATGCAAATGTAACAAACTTTTAAAATTAAAAAAAACTGAAACTAAAAGTTTAACATTCAACAATGCTAGCTTATAAAGCTAATTAATGCTGCAGTAATTTACACAGGTGAGTAAGCTTGTCTTGCTTACCTGCTTTTCATGAAGGGCTTTCATTAAAATGATAGTGAAATATAAACAGCATTAAAAATCTACATTAAAGATAAAATTAAGGTTACAAAAATTAAAATGTAAACTAAAATGAAAGTTTAAAAATGTTAAAAAAAAATTCAGGAAAAAATGACAAACATTTACAGGCAAGCTGCCAGAAATTATGAGGTACCGGTAATAAAAGCATTTTAAGTAATTAACATGTAAAACTTTAACCAACAGTAACACAATTTGCAAGTTTTGTTCTAAAAAAATAACTGAAATAGTTTTAACTTCAGGAAAATCTAAATGGAAAGAATTATTACAGAAACAACTTTCTTAGTATTCTTAAAAATTTAATAAAAAGAATTAAAGTAGGAAGCAGGTACATCCAGCAACTTTGCTGAATGATACAAGCATTTCACAAAAAAAGTTGTAATTGTATAAAAATTACAAAGTTACAGTGATATAATTTATTCGCAAAAATATACTAGTGCTACGGGCTCAGTATGTCTATTTTATGGGGTTTAAAAAAATTAAGACTGATCGCATGGATCCTGAGTACGCATATTGACAAAATCAGCTAGTTAGCGGAAATGTCTCTTTACACAAGTTATTTACAGAGAAAATGTACATTCAATCAACAAGATGGGATAAGTCAATCCTGGCTTCTCTGCCCTTGAAATACTATTCCTATACTAACAACTGCACTGCAAACTAAAAACCGTGACAGTAGATGATAACAGAAGCTATACTAGTTTAAAACTAACATTAAAAAAAAAATGGGGACATACTTAGCCCGTGTGTAAAAAAACAAGTAAGAAAGACAAGCAACCGCAGTAAAGTAGACCCCAAAAAAGAGTCGGTAAAGACTGCATTATCTTGCACACAGATATACTCTTTCAACAAACTTTTAATATGGAGCTTTTGGTAAAAATAGCAATAAAAATCTAGATAAAAATTTGAAAATTCTCAAACGGCATACATTTATTCTTCCTATAGGCATATAGCCAGACTTCGAGCACTGCAAAAGTTCTCTCATCTAGTTAAGTGACGCAAGGAGAACACAAAGAAACCACGAATAATTCATCACATATTGCACTTTAAATCCAATCCAGATCTACATCTACATATTAACCAACCGCACGCACGTATGTACACAACATGCCAACTTTTTTTTTTAATTTTCTTAATTTTGATTATGATAGTAAAAAATGTACACCAAAAAATGTTCCATGCATTGAAGTTTTAAAATACATGAATGAATGTCTGAAGACAAACCTGAACACAATCTCAAGTTAATGTGGTTATAAAATTAGATTGTAGTTGTAGACCAGTGCCGTAACTATCAAGACTGTGGAGATGTCAGTTAATGGATGGCCAAAACTGCTGGAGGATCAACAAGTGACACACAGTGGAACCTAAGACAGAAAAAAAACAAACAATTACACATTTGCTAACAAATAGCTTTAAAGATAATGCACAACACAGGAAGATATTTCAAACTACAGTGTTGTATTCTGAGTGTCCAAAGAGTTAAATTTTTTACCATTTCAGGTTTTTTAAATATAAAGTTTTAATACCATCAGATCTAGGCCCTGATAGATCATGTAACCAAATCATACTGAGCAAATTTTGTAGGAAAAGTATAATGAGAACAGCATTTCTCTGTACATTAGTTTCTTTTATTACATAAAATTATAAATTAATGGTCCTTCAAATCAATTTGCATTTGATTTATGTAAATTCCATGTTTTTAAGTAAAACTACTAGCCAATTACTAAAATGGGAAAAAAAGGAAAATTGAAAGATAAAAATCTGCCAGGTTGGTAGTTGTATATATATTTCACATACTATAGGCTGTTCATAAATAATTGAGCTTTAAGAATTTCACCAGCAACCCACATTGTCAGTAATATCAAAACAGCTAAACCACAAAAAAAAAAAAATCACACCCCTCTCTAATAAAAATTTCTTTCAGGACTGCCTGCAGCTTCTGAATAGCTTTATGACTTGTCTATCAGTCCATTTGTAAGTCCAAATTACACTTTTCTAAATTCAAGACTTTCCACCAACCCTAGTCCAACATAAATACCTTCCAGATAGTTCACCTTTGGCAAAACTAAAATTGGAGGCAGATTATTTCAGACTACTGGAAAAATTAGTCCAGCCAAAAATTTGATGTTTTGATCAAAAGGTAGATTTCCAGAAAATATATAATATGCATTACGTTTTAAAATGGGAAACATAAAAAGGTCAAAATAGGGTTTTAAAACAAGACTGAATAGGATGCTCATACTAAAGGGGTGAATGGACTTGTGCTTAAAAACAAAGTTTCATTGGTTTGAAAAAAAGTAGGTAACTCACTTTTCATGTTTGTATTTCTCAATTACAGCTTGCTGAGGCATGGTTGCTTTCCTTGAGTAAAGTCTGAACAAGCACTGTACACAGTCTTTCAAGTCATTCAACGAGTATCCACTGTGCTTTTCAATATTTGAAGGCTGAGGGTACAAATTCACGATAAATTACCAAGAAACAAAAGCATGTAGCATGTTATGTATTTAAAAACTCATGGCATAATAATAGAACAGAAGGTACAAAAACAGAACGAATGACGACTAGGCTAATTTTTCAGCAGACAACTCACCCATGGTTCTCCAATTTTGAGAGTGCTGCGAGCAAGAATGATAGCACATGCAGCGATCATGCTGGGACGGTAATCCAGAAACTCTTCCACTTCAATCAAGGACAGCTCTGTGAGGAACTAAAGAGAAAATTTTAAAGTTAATTTAAAGACAAGCAAGCAACAAGATTATAAACTAAGTAGGTTAACAATACAAGAAACTCACAAATGCAAGAGACTTTGCTTTGTCTGGCATGTCTACTAGGCTGAGAAATCTTTCACAAAACCAGTTGATGGTTGGCACAGCAACCTTAAAGTCCAGCAACTTCAGGATAACACTTTCCATTTTCAGAACCTGAACAAAGATATTTAAATTGTCTAAGTTAAAGTCTGAAAATACTATCTGCTTATTAGGAAACAATTGTTAAGAATTCTTAATATAAAAGTTTGGTACCCATTCACACAACTTAGTACTAGGGTAATGAGGTAAGATATGTTTTCCAATTTAACCCCCCCCCCCTAAAAGACTATGATCCATCACTTCCCCATGCTTCTATTAACAAAGTTACGTCTGAATGGCTCTAATCCACTAATCAACCACTCCCTTTCATCACTCATTGTAATATTTTTAGTAGATCTGAGTTCAGAATAGTGCAACTATTTACCTGAGCACGAGTGTAGGTGTCATCAGTAATATAAACGAACTCGGCAACATCAGGAGGATAGATTTCCTCGTATTTTCTGAGGAGTATTAGGTTGTCATAAGTGCATGCTACAACGTTTTAACTTTTAAGATAACCAAATTAGTTTATTAACACAAAGCACAAACAAAGCTTACGCGGCTATGAACATGCTGGCTGTCCCAACTAGCTGGAGCTTAGGTCTGTGAACTCCAACCAACGAAAGAAATCTGTCAATGTAGTTGATGGCCAGAAACAAAGTCTCTCTCTGCAGTTTGTATTCCTCTCCAACCTTGAAATATTTCATTAGGTTTTTATGACCACACGATTGGGTCAAATTTTTACAAAAACAGTTTATTAGAAATAAAATTGAGCTTTATTTATAGGCAGTTAACACACAAGTTTGGTAGCCATGCTTAAGATTACATACCTCAACCAACCAATCCACTAAAATGTTTCTCATTGATGTAGAGACGTCTGTTTGCCTATTCATGTAATCCCTCTGTGGTCGACTTGCAGGCTGTATATAAAAACATTAAGTGTTAATTTACTGAAGAACAATTAATGTTTATAAAAAGATATGTTAAATGTAGTGTTTACCTCAACAGCTTTTAGATAGTTGTAAATATCACTGAAGTAAGGCTCCAATCCGAACTCATCCTGTTTGATTTCAGATGTATCCCGATCCTTCACAGTATCAATCAGCATGGGGGATCCTTAAATATGTAGTAAAATTCAATTCACTATCATGTAAGTTAAGTTAAAAGTTTCACTATGTCATAAGAATAATGGTAATATATCCTCCAAATTCAATCAACTTCATGGTTGGGTCAGTATAGCTCGTTTCTAAACCAAAATATGTCTGGAGTTCAAAACACCGGGCAGTTTAGAAATTGCCACCATGTAGTTTGTTCTTGGGTGGATAAAGGCTATGGAAGTAAATCCAGAAAGACAATGAGGCTGAAATCTAAGTCAACTGCATTTATGGCACATAAAGTTGACGAAATCCAATAAAGAACCAAGAAGAAACAACTGAATTTAGTTCTTTCCTAAGCTGTAGGGTTACCAGAACAAATGCACAGTGAACAAGGCGTAAGGAAAGGCTTTACTAAACTTTTGATGCGCACATGGCTAAACCTGGAATGTGAGTCTTAAGTGCAAATGCTCATTTAAAAACTATAGTTATGTTATAACGATTAACTAAATACAAGTCTGGTATCATTTCACGATTAGTTTAGTATTTACTTCTTTCAATGTATTGAAATTTTTTGGGACTACCAAGATCAAGCCTTCCCAATCAAGGGTACTTGAGTCTATTATTAACTTATTTTATGGCAATCCTTAAAAAGGTGTTGCCTTTAAGGTTTGGGAACCCATGCTTTAAAAAACAATAGCTATGAGCTCAGACCAGTAAACGCGCAATATAAAAAAACTTACCAGTTACTTCCAGGCTTCGCTGAGCCAACGCAGGAAAATGTGATCCATTTTTATTTAATCCAGTGACCATATCCCTCAGTACTAAGCTGTGTTCTGGGATTAAATTTTCCTGATCATGCATTGGTTCATGGACCTGAAGATTCTGACTGCTCACTCGTGTTGGCTGTGGTATTACATCCTCAAATATCGTGAAACCAGATGATTTTTGTGGATTTGATGGTCCTGCATTCTCTTGACCCCCAAAGCCTGGCTTTGTCCCATGGAGAACAGTGTGCTATAAGATTTTATATTTACATCATTAATTTTGCTAATCCATGACAAGCACAATTAAAACCCTTGAAAGGAAATTATAGATACGGGTGTCTGATAATAGACTTCCATAAAATAGGTGTGCTGGGCTGTTAGTATTGTAATCTCCACAAATTTTATGGTTAGAAATTAGGGTTAGGCTTATGGTAGGACCAGGGTTGGGGTTAGGGACAGGGTTAGCATTGACACTAGCCAGCCATATGTGTAGTTAATTAACTACCATTAACCTAACACCCCTTTTAAAAGAAGATTCCATTATTGGACACCAGTGTACAGATTCTCCCGGAAATAATATATACCTTGTCTTTGGCAATACGCTGTGGTTGTCTCCTCACTTGATTTGTCACATTACCCAGTGCAGGCCGCCTTGTGTTTGCTGTCCTCTGGTTCTGCAATGGTTTTGGACGAGCCTGATTCTCTTTCAAGTTTATATCTCTCAATGTGTTGCTCCTGAGTGGTAGAGACATTTTCTTTTCTTTGATAACTCAGAAGTCTTACTGAAATTGGAACAGGTCATTGGTTTTAGAAAAATGTGCCATTGGATGTGCAGCTACTTCCAGCAACAAATCACTTCACAAATATGGGTAAGAATGAAGATTAAAATATTTAATGAACATACATCTGTTTAACCCATCATGATCATTACACTTTATATTAATTCACAAATGCATCACATTTTATATGTACATACAAGCTAGATTGACAATTACAGCAGAGAACTAGAGCTGCAACATGCAACTTTGAAAAAGTAGCTGTAATACTTTATATCTAGTTATTACACAACTATTAGTAATACAAATTGGCATGTACGCTACAGCTGATAACTGAATTCCTAACAACTAACAAGTCAGGCCTAATAATCTGACCTGCAAATTCACTAAAACACAAGTTTAATTTTGGCCAAATGATAGATCTTATTGAACTAGAGATACATTTTTAACTAAATCATACAATATAAATCTAAAAGTAGTTTTGGTAGCCTATTTAATTTATTAAGTTTTAGCCATAAGCAATATCCTTTCAAATTAAAAACCTAATTAGTAATTACTAAGTAATAAGGTTATTGTAGCGGCACTAACAGCTTAATGTCTGGAATAGTGTGGAGCATTAAAATTGAAATAAAACATTTTGATTCTGATCCAGTTCATCCAGAATAGAAAGCATTAGGCCTTTGCATAATTTTATCGCATAAGAGTGCCTAAGACTATTATTCATATATTACATAATATATATCTATCTTATGTTTTTCTAGCAAGGCTCGATCTAGACTGGATTATGATCTTACTGATAGATTCCAGACAGCTGATTTTAGGCCATGGCAAGTCTTATTTTACATTGGGCTCTTTTGAATTACATTACATTAGCTCTTTAGAATTAGCATATCTAGATAAATCAAGATCCAAGATCACAGGTAGAAAATCTAGATCTAATACTCTAAACTACTAAATCTAGATCTACACTTAGAATTTTACTTTTAACACAATGATTGTTACATTTCTAGAATCTAGATCACGATTCACTACAGAGTTAAAGAGTACACACGCGCCGAACTGCTACTTTTCACTGCTTTACAATGCAACAAAGATTTAATAAAATATCCAGGGTTATTTTTTAAATGAATCTAGATCTAGATTCTAGATCCAATCGCCAGTAATACCTACTAGATTCTAGATCTGATACAAGTGGCAATTAACGACCTTTCTCTAGTCTTTACATTAAACTAATAAACTATAAACTAAGGATAAGACTCAACGCGACGGATGTGTTGTCTAGAGAAACTTTAAGGTCCCAGTATAAAGAAAACTCAACTACTCCACACGACTGAACTGTGTTTAAAACTTATTGCAATGAACATACTAGAAACGAATAGGTTTATCTTCAAGAAATGTATAATCCAACTCCTATTCACGCTTGCGACACGACTGAACACAACCTGGAAGACATTGGCTTTATACTTACGGTTCGTGTTCAGAGAAAGAAGTGAAAATAATAGATCTCTCTATGGACTGAATTTGCCTCTGTTTATAGTCGAAACGAGGCAGCCAGTCAAATGACCCGCTCCGCTCAAAACAACCAATCAGAATTCAGTCGCTCCTAGAAACATCAATTAGTTCACGTGAATAGATTTTTCCGTGCTTTGTGAGTTGAAAATTTGCGTCATTAGTCTTGGAGACCACAAAATTTAATTAAAATTAAAAACAATACGTAAAATCATTAAAGGAGACAATAAAACAAATTGTTATTAAATAAATTCGACTCCACCCTATTTCAAGTTATTATTTCCCCTCTTATTTTTAAAAAATGCTACTTTTTTCCACGAAAACAAAACTCTTTCAAATTCCTTACAACATTTATCCAACAAGGCGTTTTAGAAAATAAAATTTTTAGATCTACATTTTTTAAATTTGTAAATTTCGTACGTAGATTCTAAAGCGAAATTACCTATTTAAAAAAGTATTCCTTTCATTTAGACTAGTAGACTATTACAAAATAAAGACTATACTTAGTTAAATTGACGGTAAGCTTAGGCTACCATTAATACTACTAAATGCCTTAAAATTTGGGCCTACTAAACTTAAGTTCAGTTGCATAAAAAATTATTTATTTTATATATTGTTATCATTCTGTATATATATCATCAAGCACATTTAGGGCCTCGTTGTGTAGGGGTGGAATGGCGGTGGATGAAGATGAGAATCTTGAAAAAACCTAAGCATTTTTTCTTTTAATAATCAGGCTGATTTTGATGACTAAATTATTAGTTACTACTATTACGTAATGATTTGCAAACGTACTTCTTTTAATTTGTAACTGTCATGCATAGGCTTACTTTGTAGAAATAATGGGGTTTTTTCCATAAATGACGTCACACTCGTAGTTTTGAGGGGGGGGGGAGTAATTTTGTGACGATGTGCGATGAGGAGGAGGGGGTTCAGAAAGTGTGACGTCACACTTACTTTTATCTTATTTTTAGTCTTTTCTATTGCCAGTTGGAACGGCTGGACAATATAGATACAAGTGCAAATACTTCAGCGTTCAATTTTTATTTCTTTTGAACACGATTTAGGCTTTAGGCCTATACAACTGTGATTCCCACAGAAAATGTGATGTCTATAATTTATTTGCAAAACCCCCGTGTTTTATAGTAGCTACCATGTGTGTGAGTGTTTGGAGAAGGGGGAGGAGGGGGGGGGCTTGTTTTATAAATGTTATATAAATTATTAGTAGATCTCAATGTGTCAGTAGATCTCAATATGTCAGTAGATCTCAATGTGTCAGTAGATCTCAACGTATCAGTAGATCTCAATGTGTCAGTAGATAGTGATGTGTCAGTAGATCTCAATATGTCAGTAGATCTCAATGTGTAAGTAGATAGTGATGTGTCAGTAGATCTCAATGTGTCAGTAGATAGTGGTGTGTAAGTAGATCTCAATGTGTCAGTAGATCTCAATGTGTCAGTAGATCTCAATGTGTCAGTATATCTTAATGTGTCACTAGTTCTCAATATGTCAGTCAATGTGTCAGTAGATCTCAATATGTCAGTAGATCTCAATGTGTCAGTAGATCTCAGTGTGTCATTAGAGTAGATCTTAATGTGTCAGCAGATCTTGATATGTCAGTTGATCTCAATATGTCAGTAGATCTTGTTGTGTCAGTATATCTTGATGTCTCTGAGTTATATGTGAGAGTGTCAATGCCATTGAGATTCAATATTCCCTTAACACGTCATTATGATTAGACTTTGCTTTGTTAGTTTTAATTTTTCCTAACTATGCAATCTTTCACAAAAGTGTAGTTATAAACTGAATACCAAGTGTCGGCATAGATATAAGACATACACACACACTCATAAAGAAACTCATACACGCACACACACACACATATATATATATATACATATATATATACATATATATATATATATATCAGGGGCGTAGCGAGGGGGGCGGGGGGTGCGGACCGCACCGGGTGACACCATTTAGGGGGGTGACACCAAGGCAAAAAATAGCAAAATATATATAGAAAAACTTGAGGGGGGGTGCAAATCGAAAGTTTGAGGGGGGGGGGGGGTGCAAATCGAAAACCTGAAAGTTCGTCCCTGGGAAGGGTCGCAACGCCTCTGGGGGGGGGGGGGGGGTAACACCATTAAGTGCCGCACCGGGTGACACCCGACCTCGCTACGCCACTGATATATATATATATATATATATATATATATATATATATATATATATATATATATATATATATATATATATATATATATATATATATATATATATATATATATATATATATATATATATATATATATATGGCTGAGTATACTCCCCCGCACGCACCAAGACTAAGGTGGTGGTGGCTGGGAGCTATGACGCGCCCATGTAAATCTATCACATTGAGCTCATGCAAGTTCCCACTTCAATAGTGGCGCGGCAATCATTGCCAGACAAGAAATGCGTGCAAATGCTTCTCCCATTGAATCCTAAGCAGCCGTCGATTCAAAAATATCCCTCGAGATCACTCCTCTGTCCTGGGGGTCGCCGACAGCATCAAAGAACGACAATCCTAGACTGACCGCGAGTTACGCAACTTTGCGCGGTGAAAGCGCTTGAGTTTTTCGTACTAGATTCTAGTAGAAAACACGGCCGACAATGAACAGGGGAGGCTACTGTTACTCAAGTTGGCTATAATTAGTAACGTGACTTTTCACTTCTTGGTGATGCAATTGCCTGATATATTGGCTGTGAATACTAGCTTTAAGATGTGTGAATTGCTACTTTGTGTTGAGGCTTACGTTTACAATATATCAAAGGAGTTTTATGGGTATAATGATTGCGGCACCGACTGTTATTCAGATAAGCAAAAAGATAAGCAAAAAAAAAAAAACCAAAAAGAACATTGTTATTCTCCAATGTCAAATTGATCTGTTAAATTAATTTTGCATTTTTGCATTAAAAATGAAAACAGGCTTCTAATAAAAAAAAAATTTCTCGATGTGCTAGTTTTTAATTAAGAAAACAAATTAACTTCAAACACAAACAGATAAATAACGAAACGCATCTAAAGAAATACAGAAATACCAGAGAATAGTTGTCATATTTTATAATACGTTTTTTTTTTCTTTTGACACTTAATTAAACTTACAATACATACGTAGGCCTACTTAAAAAGACAAACACACACACAGACTTATAAACGCACAAACACATTTGTTTTTATTGCACACAAAAGTAATTGGTTTAAACTAAGCCGATGACGTAATGTAATCAGTTTATCTAAAGGCATTAATCTACGGCAGATAAATTTGTTTAGAGTTATCGGACCCTAGGGACAATTAACAAGACACGTCACAATAAATCTCCCTTAATCTGGTCTCCTGTAGGATCAGCTGATTCGTCAGTGGAGCGTGACCTAGTCTTTTTAAAACACGTTTTTAGGGCGAAGTTTTAAATTGGAATTCTAAAATAATTTTAAAAAATTTATGGACGTTTTGTCTTAACGCTCAAAACTGGTTAGACGTGATTAGATTTTAGAGCCGACGTTCAACCCTTGACCTATGAGCCTGTATCTATGTGTAACTTAGGCTTTGAAACTATCTAACTAGGGCTTTGAAAGTATATAATTTGGGCATATAACTTGTCTTTTGAATCAATGTAACCTTGGCTTTGAGATTGTAGGAAAAAAAGTCACAGGAAAAAAAAAACACAGGAAAAAAAAACACAGAAAAAAAGTCACAGGAAATAAAGTCACAGGAAAAAAAGTCACAGGAAAAAAAGTCACAAATATATATTTGCATGATATTTGTTAATACTGTTATGTATTAAATATTTAGAGAGTGCAAATTAACTTAGGATAATTAAATGTAATGTGTGTAGGCTGTATACGCACAGGAATTTTTATAATTCATCTAAAAATATTTATTATGAAGTATGTAGATTGTAATTATTTTAAACTTAAGTAGCATTTAATAGAATGCTCTAAAGTCCACGTTTTTTATCGTGCTTTTTTTAAAAAATACCAATATTAAATTACCGCGAAATGGTAAGTTCATCTGACTTGCTGCCCTCAACTCATGGCAACACTAGTTATGTTTAGTTCGACCACCTTTACTTCCCACATTTATCACGCTCATTACATAACAAAACTTAGGATAAAAACAGAAAGCCGAAAAGGTTCAAAGGCTGTCGATGACGCATAACGTCAACAACACAAAATATGTTCAGACAATGCCTACTGAGGAGAGGCCGACCAGAGAATAGCCTACGGCAAAATTTGCCTAAATTTCTTTTATAATTAAATTTTCTACCGCGTTTTTAACTAAATACGTAACAAAAGTTGAGATTGTTGTGTAAATTATATTAGAGTATTTTTACTTACAATTGTTATAAACCATAAAGCTTTTAACGTCTATAAATAATTTATGCTATAAAAAAAAATACAACCCACAACAATAAACATACAAAATTTTACAATTCTAAACAAATTAAAAAAAAATATTTCTAAAAAGATTTTTGTGACTTTTTTTCTGTGACTTTATTTCTGTGACTTTTTTTCCGAAATTTTTTTTCCACTGTGACTTTTTTTCTGTGACTTTTTTTCCGTTTTCCGGCTTTGAAACTATCAAAAGTGGGCTTTGAAACTAACTAGGACTTTGAAAGTATATAACTTGGCCTTTGAATCAATGTAACTTAGGTTTTGAAACTATATAACTTGGGCTTAAAAACTATATAACTTAGGACAAAGGCGTTATGCCGCACAGTCCTTCTCATGGCTGGTCAACACAAATTGTTCTATGTAATAGCTGTGAAACTCATTACACTGGACCTGAATGTGTAGGCCTATCCCACTAATTAACATTGAGATACTCTGGGTATGTCTAGCATGTCTAGTTTTCACCAGTTCGTGGTAAAGTTGAACACAGCACCATTGTAGACAAATGATGTTAAGTTCATTACAACTACCGTGATAATTAGTCATGCTCAGTTTTTACACAAAGTAATGAACTAATCGCCCACCACCATTTATTTTAATTAACCCTCCCCCACCCCTTCCTCT